CGCTAACGCACTGATGTTTTTTGAAAGGAAAGGTACACGTCTCAGGGCGGATGATCGACAGTCACAAGACGTCCCAGCTGGTGACCGATTTCGCACAGCTTTTCGTCGCTCTCTCTCGCACCCGAAGAAGCCTTTCGGTGGGCTCGTCACTCGCAGCCATACGTGCCCGCACGTGCGACAGAGCGACCAAGCGATGAGTGGGTCTGCAGAGACGGCCGCGCGGAGCAGGCGATGCTCCCCGTGACACAGCAGACGGCAGAGGAGTCCGAGGCAGGCTGCAGGGCAACGGCACAACGAAGGCAGTTTGTTGTTGTTTTCTCGTCCCCAGGATGGTGGCTCGAGGCTCGAAGAGGCTCGAGGATGCCACTGGGTCAAGGAATTCCTGTCCGATCCTCAAAAGCCGGTGGTCGCGGCGGCGCCGGCCCGCTGCCGTCGTCGCCGGCAGTCCTCTCCTGCTCTTTCCTAATTAGATAATCGTCTCTGCATATATTGGCATGCACGCCGAATCGACCGAATCTCAGATTAGCTAATCGGAATCGGGCGGCGGTTCTAAACTTGGAAAGCAGCAAAAACCGAACGGCAGGCTGCGCTTCGCTTTGCTTTCCGCGGCCATTAATTAGTTTGACGGCGCGCTGCTGCTGCGCCGGGGAAGGCGAAGAAGGTCGCCGACGCGAACACGGCGGTGAGCGTAACGGAGCCACACTGTCAGAAAGTGGGCGAGTTATCGGCAGCGGGCTTGGCCGTCTCTCTCGCACCCCGTCGGCACACCCCGCGGGTGCGAGAGAGACGGAGCGACGAAAGCACTGCTCGGCCATCGGCCTGGCCACCGGCCTGCTGCAGAGCCTGCAGAGCACTGGATGCACATCAGGCCGCGCAACTCCGCGTAACGCCACGATGACGACACGCGCCGGCCTGGCGGACGGGCGGACGCACAGACAGGCAGGCAGACAGACAGGTGGGATGAAAAATATCGACGCTCGAATTTTTGGCGCAAGTTTGGCCGATGACGTAGCCCAGCCGGTCGAGGAGGCCAACGCTCCCCGCCGACCCGACCCCAGACCCCACCCCGCGTGCCTTGTCCTGCCGGTCCTGCCCTACGACGCAGCCTGGCAGCTGTCCCTCTCGCTCGCACCCCCACGGCACGCCCCATGAGTGCGACAGAGACGGAGCGACGAAAGCGCTGTTCGGAGTGAGACCCCGGGTTCGAGACGCCCATCGAGTGTTCGGCTCCGCGTAAGGTCAGTGTCAGTGAGGGGGAAAGGGGGGGGGGAGGGGAGGGATCACGCGCGCCGCCGGTCTCCTGCTCTTTCGCACTGACTACCTCTGGAAGTAGTTGTTAACTGCGGACGCGCAGAAACACAGAAGAAACAAAAAAAAAAACAACATTAAATGTATAGAAAAAATAGCGATGGCGCCTTGTGTTTTGCTTGCCGATGATGTACCGGCAGTACAATCGCTGGACAATAAGCGCTCGTGGAGACGGCCCGCCTGCGCGAGATTGATGGTTCGGCCACGTTGGGGTTCACTGGAGGTACACTGTTCACTTAAGCGGCGTGGGAATAACACGTTGGCCAAAAAACGGACAGTCGCGCGCGACAATCTAATAACCTTTTAGTACAGCCCCCTTTGCTGAGGGTCTTTCAGTCCACCTAAGGGTAGAAACAGAGCAGAGACTAGTTTCTAGCTAGCAGCTTGAAGGTCTATTCTAGAAGAAGCGAATGCAACAAGGTTTGCATACTTATAGAGCCTTCTAGACAAAACAGAAACACTGATCACAGAGCCGCCAACTTGAGACAGGGACGGCGTTGCCAACTTAAGGACACACATGTCACACGGCAACAACGTGTCGCCGGCGGTGAGCTCCACTTTCCTGGAGTCCGGGGCAGACAACAACGAGGAAACGGAGTCGCGCGACACGACGCGCGACGCCGGACGTCGGCCGCCTCAATTTGGTTCATAACCTCGACTGCGCATGCGCGGGTCACAGGTTCCCAGCGAGGATCGGCGCTCCGCCGCCGGCCGTCACGGTTGTCGCCTGCGGAGCGATGCCGCGCGCCGTTTCGTCGCTCCGTCTCTCTCGCGCCCACACTGGGCGGCCCGCGAGTGCGAGAGCGACGAAAGCTCTGTTAAAACGCTCGTCCAATTACGAGCACCACTTTCCGGGCGACCTTCCGCTCGGCCTGGACGGCCTGCTCGCCGCTCGGCCCCTTGGACGTGGTAACGGCACACCAGCGCGCCAGCCGCGCCAGCGTCAACAAACCCAGCCTTGGTCCCTCACCCACCTCACCCAGCGCGCGCACCAATTAAAACAAAAATCCACGCGACCTAACCTAAAAGCAACAAGAAAATCGCGCGGCGGCTGCGGTATGGCGAAAGGCGCGGACTCCCACAGCTCCGTATCCCTGACACCCCCGGTCTGGTCTCCCTGCGGGCTGCGGGCTGCGGCGCGGGCTGTGGGCGTCAGGAAGGTTGGGGTTTCCCACAGTGCCGTGGCGGTGCCGTGCGGTGCACGTGCGCGCATGGGAAATGCAACGCACCGATGGCTGGGATTGGGATTGCGCGAGCAGCCGCCTCCACCGTTCCGTCGCTCTGTCTCTCTCGCACCAACGGGGGCGGCCCGTGGGGACGCCGCGCCGACCAAACTGGAATACTCGGCTTATGTTTTTTCTAGCGGAGGGTGCGAGTGCGTCACAGGTCGGCCCTCCTTCTGGCACTGGTCGCACTGGATGGCACCCAAGACTGCCCAAGACCCAGGCACGGCTGGGCAAGGCAAGGCGCGCCGGCAGGCGGCGTGGCGGCTCGGTCAAAGAGAAAGTTGTTTGCTTGACTGAGCTAAATACACCCCCTGGCTGGAGATGCAGCTGGAGTCGTCATGGTTCCAGAAAGAAGACCTGCGCGTGACATCCGGCTGGATATGGTTCGATATGCTCCAAATTTCACGTTCGGGGTTCGCTCGGAATAGCATTGGCCCCAAGACCGTCCTCGCCAGCCGGTTGCAGCCGGTCAGAAAGGGAATGAATTTGTCTCTGTGACAGGGCGCTGCTCTGCAGTCGGGCCGCGTAGCGCGGCGTAGCCCGGCGTAGCCGCCTAGTCCGTGGCATCGCCAGTAGCAAGGACAAGCGGCGCGTAAAACGATGGTGTGACGATGTCAAAACACGACGACCGGAACGGGTTCCCCGATGAGCCGAGCCGAGCCGAGCCGGGCCGGGCCGGGCCGAGCCGAGCCGAGCCGGGCGGGGATGTCACCCAGGAAGTGCGCCAACAGCGCCAACACGCGGGACAGCGAGCAGGACCAGCAGGACGGCCGGGCCGCGCGAAAACCAAAAAACCTCGCCGATGCCGGGAAACGAATTCGCGGCAGGAATGGTGCGGCCGCCTCGGGGGGAAGTCACGTGTCGCTTGGCTCTGTCTCTCTCGCACCCCAGCGGAACGGCCCGAAGAGAGCGAGACGGAGCGACGAGAGCAACCCCGTCTAGTCCCACGGCGGCGCATTGCTTTTTACCCCGAGGCGCCGTGGCTGCACCTGCCTGCACCTGCCCGCCTCGACGCTATTCCCCGCTCCACGGACGACGGGACGACGGACGCGCGACAAGAAACGGCGCTGTTTCCTTCCTCCGGACCGCGTCTTGCTGGTGTTTTACAGGCGCGGGGAAGGGCAGGCAAAAATGAAGCAGGAAATGCCATTGAACGCCTCGGGAGGGAAGCCCCGCCTCTTCGCTGCCTTTGCATGCCGCAGGGCTGGCGGGGCCGTGAGCGTGGCACGCGGCACGCGCGGAGGCGGAGTCCGCGCGGACAAAAGACATCAGTCAGACCGGACGGACGGCACGGGGTGACAGACAGAAAGAGAGAGACAGATTTGGCGCGACGAGGATGGCGAGCGCACTCTCATCGGTACGGGGGGAGGTCCGAGGCTCGGAGGTCCCCGTCAGTCGTCTTGCCGCCTTGCCGCCTTGGCGCCGTCGCTGCGCATTTGAAGCGCCTCGTCCCGTCCGTGACCCACTCCGGTGCCAGCCCCGAGGCCCCGCAGCGGCGCAGCCCCCGAGCGGAGCGCCGCGGAGGCACCGGCCAGCCCAGGCCACAGCCCAGGCCAGCCCAGGCCGATGGGCACACGCGCGGCTATTTATAGAGCAGCGTGCCTGCCAATCGCTCCGTCTCTCTCGCGCCCTCCAGGCGCGCCCCACGAGTGCGACAGAGACGGCGCGGCCGCGACTGTTCGGAATCAGCCCGCTGTGGCCGTCGCGCTGCCGCGCTGTCACCCGTCCACTGGACGGCGTCCACTCCACTCCACTCCGGTCCGCGACGCGGCGCGGGGCGTGAGGTGAGGTCGACGGTCTGGCCGTACGTGACGTGGCCCAGCGTGGCCGCGGACAAGTACCCCCTCCCGCCCTCCCGCACCCAATCCACCACCGACGCGAAAAAAACTCGCCTCTCTAAAAAACAACGTGTTTGAAATCCTGTCCGTATTTTTTGTTCACTCCTTCCGAACCGTCCCCGAGGACTCTGCGGGGCGCCGCGGCTCTCCGCGCGGACGGACGGCCGGGCGGCGGCGGAGCATGAATGTCCGAACAATAAACGCGCGGTGAGGAAAATGGCGACGTAACGACCAAAAAAGATGCTCGCCGCGCGTCTCCGCGACGGATGCCAATTTTCCGGCCACTTATCGCGTCGAGAGTCTCGAGAGGCGAGAGTCGAGGCGACAGGGCGTCATCGCTAATCCGTCCGCGGTCCACCGGGCACGCCAGCACGGCGCCGGGGCGTCCTCGCGAAGCATCGCCAAGCCCGCGTCATTGGAGGCGGGTTCGAATCCCGGAGACAGCGGGCTTTTTTTGTGACGGGCGGAGAGAGCGGTGGGAAAGGCCTCTGTATGGACGGTGGGCGATAATCACTTTAGGAAGCACGGAGTATTTGCATCGGCGGCGCGCGGCGCCGGGCCCGGCCGGGCGGGCCAACAAAAAACGCAAACAGTACGGAGAAATTGGCGCGTCTTGCCTCGTACTCACCGAGAGAGGGGGTCCACCATGAAGGCGACGAAGGCCACGGCCGCGAACACGCAGCACAGGTAGATGGTAGAGATCTCGTAGATCTCCGAGTCCGGCGGCCGCTCCAAGTTGTCATTGCCGTGTGTGTTGAGGACGCAGAAGTTGGCCCCGCAGTGTGACAGCCTCGCCTCGGAGGCCTGCGAGGAGTTGGCCGAGCCGCCGCCGCCGCCGTGCGCGCCGGACGAGAGCACTGTGGGAAAGGGGTGGTCGTCAGCCCAAAGTATACAAGGCCCAAGGCGGTCACGCCAAAGGTAGTAAACTAAACGTACCCAAGGAGGAGACGAGGTTTCCCCAGAGCTCGGCCGTCTGCCAGGCCAGGAAGAAGAAGCCGAAGAAGCGCACGATGATGCCGTCGACGGCCTGGTCCGTGAGCTTGGCGTACACGGCGCCGACCTGCGTCAGGTACGTGGCCTTGGCCGCCCACATGGGCGCGGCGCCCAGGCCGAGCAGCACGCCGGCGGGCACCAGCGTGTAGAAGCGCGGGTAGAACTGCGCCGCGATGTAGGGCGCGTAGCACAGCATGGACGCGCACAGCGTCCACTTGACCGTGAGCCTCTTGATGAGGAAGGTGGGCACGAAGATGCACGACAGCACCAGGGCGGCGTACACCGCCGACAGCGACACCGTGCCCAGCCCCTCGCGCGCGTTGATGCTGCTCTGCAGGTTGGCCGTGCCCTGGAACGCCGTGAACTGCACCATGAAGGCGAAGCTCACGGCCGCGATGTTCTTGAGGATGCGCCATTTCTCGCCGGGCTTGAGGCGGCACTTGCCGTCCAGCCCGGGGATCATGTCCTCCTCGGTGCCGCTGAGCGCGGGCTGCTTGTGCTTGGCGTCGCCCAGGCCGTCGCCATCGCCCTTGAACGCCTCATTCGTGTAGCCGCCCGTCACCGACACCGTCACCACGTCGTCGTTGTTGTGGGTCTTGCGCTTCGTGGGGCCGTCGTCGTCCCCTGAGTACGAGAACACCATCCTGGCGGCTGGGGGCCCTGAGGGCTAGGACCTGCAACACACCAAGCACACTCCGTTAGCGACATGAGAAACTCGGACGCTGGGCCGCGGGGGTGTTCCACGCGGGTGTTCCACGCCGCGGCCTCGGCCGGGCAGCAAGCGGCGGGCATCGCATTGCCACCGATTGGAGGCGACCGTGGCGAACGGCGCTGCTCACCGGGGGGAGGGGAGGGGGGCAGCGTCACACACAATCGACTGGCACCGGCCAACACGGTTTGGTATTCTATCGTTGGCGCCTCTTCCAAGGGTCACTTTATTTACCGAAGTTGGCAACACTGTCGCATGCCGGCACGTTGCCTCAGCCGCTTGCCTCACCAGGCCAGGCCAGGCCGAGGGCCGCCGGGCTCGGCCCGGCCGAAGGGAGTCCAAGGAGCATCGCGTGGCCTCCAAGGGCGGCGCCGGTCAGGGACGGAAGCCTTCTGCCACTGCGCACTGCGCGTTAGAGGACCGCCGACTGTCCGGGCCGTGGAAAGGGCGCGAAACGCGCAGTGCTGCCACCACGCCGCCACACACGGGCCGTGGAAAGGGCGCGAAACGCGCAGTGCTGCCACCACGCCGCCACACACGGGCCGTGGAAAGGGCGCGAAACGCGCAGTGCTGCCACCACGCCGCCGCAAACGGGCCGTTAGCAGTGAGCGACACCGCGCTGGCAGCGCGCCAACGCAGAAACGCGAGACACTCCACTTCTGTTCTCCTTCCGTCGCGTTGCCGGCGTTGCCCGGCCCGCGGCGGTGCCCTAATCTAGATCATCTAGATCCCCAGCCGACGTTTTGTTTTCGTTCTCCGCGAGGAATGTTTCGCTCTGGAGAGGTGAGGTCGGCGCCAAGGTCCGGACGAGTGTGTCCCGCGGACACCGCCAGCCGCGTCACGCCGACCACTCCACGCGCCCAGCACGCGACCAGCACGCGCCCCGCACTCGGCCGGGGGACGCCCGATGCAGCCAGACGCCGTCCGCGGAGATGATCTAAATAAATACATCAGCCGGCCTCCGGCCTTGCCACCGCCGACTACACTGTCAACGAAGTGGCACTGGAGCGGCGCGGCTGGTTGAGGACCCTCGATACGCCACCGAGCCGGGCGTTGGGCTATTTTCGTTTTACGACAAAGATGAGCCGCCCGCCCGTCCCCTCCCAAATTTTCCCAAGGGATAAACAGGAAGGAAGGACTCCCGGTGCCATCCTCGAAGTTTCCGCCAAGGCCTTCGCCGTGCCAGCAGAACCGACGACAAAATGTATCGACAACATCTCAAAGGACCCCAGAGTGAACTAACCATTCTGACGGGGCGATTGCTAGTCGACCTGATCGAATCCACGGAAAACGCACTGCTCCGGACCGAACGGCGCGCTGGGCTGACGGGAGCATGCTCGCGTGGCGAATGCGATGTCGAATCGCGCCACAACAACGAGTACACAGTGTTGCACGGCAGGCTGAGCACCGCCGCGTCGCTCTGTCTCTCTCGCACCCCCTGCAGGCGTGCAGAGCGCCTCGAGGCGTGGATGCGAGGGAGACAGCGACGAAGCCTCTGTTCAGAGTCGGGCTGCAGGGAATCTAAACGCACACGCTGCTCCGCAGCGCGCGTCTGCCGGGAAGAGACCCCTATCGAATAGCTAGCCCAGTGGTTCTTAACCTTAGGGTCGCGACCCCAAGTGGGATCGCGAAAAAATTTTAAGGGGTCACGGCGAGGTAGCTGGGGTCGTGTTTTGGGCCGATTTTAAGCAGCCACTGCGTCTGACCCGAGGCGGTATTTCGTCCTCCTTCAACGGGCAATTGGTCTTTGGACCTTCCTTTAGCATGCCTTTGTTACGGAGTGTGATTATCAGTCTTAGTTTGGAAGCAGTATTGTCTCAAAGTTTACCCAAACAGTCAGAAATGTCTTTGAAAAATCGTGTTTTGGGCCGATTTTAAGCAGCCACTGCGTCTGACCCGAGGCGGTATGTCGTCCTCCTTCAACGGGCAATTGGTCTTTGGGCCTTCCTTTAGCATGCCTTTGTTACGGAGTGTGATTATCAGTCTTAGTTTGGGAGCAGTATTGCCTCAAAGTTTACCAAAACAGTCAGAAATGTCTTTGAAAAATCGTGTTTTGGGCCGATTTTAAGCAGCCACTGAGTCTGATCCGAGGCGGTATTTCGTCCTCCTTCAACGGGCAATTGGTCTTTGGACCTTCTTTTAGCATGCCTTTGTTACGGAGTGTGATTATGAGTCTTAGTTTGGGAGCAGGATTGTCTCAAAGTTGGCCGAAACGCTCAGAAATGTCTTTGAAAAATCGTTGTGACTGTTTTGGTCAACTTTGAGACAATACTGCTCCCAAACTAAGACTGATAATTGCATTCCGTAACAGAGGCATGCTAAAGGAAGGTCCAAAGAACAATTGCCCGTTGAGGAGCAAAATGCCCGCCTCGGATCAGACGCAGTGGCTGCTTAAAATCGACCCAAAACATGATTTTTCAAAGACATATCTGAGCGTTTTGGCCAACTTTGAGACAATACTGCTCCCAAACTAAGACTGATAATCGCACTCCGTAACAGAGGCATGCTAAAGGAAGGTCCAAAGAACAATTGCCCGTTGAGGGAGCAAAATGCCCGCCTCGGATCAGACGCAGTGGCTGCTTAAAATCGACCCAAACATGATTTTTCAAAGACATTCTGAGCGTTTTGGCCAACTTTGAGACAATACTGCTCCCAAACTAAGACTGATAATCGCACTCCGTAACAGAGGCATGCTAAAGGAAGGTCCAAAGAACAATTGCCCGTTGAGGGAGCAAAATGCCCGCCTCGGATCAGACGCAGTGGCTGCTTAAAATCGACCCAAAACATGATTTTTCAAAGACATATCTGAGCGTTTTGGCCAACTTTGAGACAATACTGCTCCCAAACTAAGACTGATAATCGCACTCCGTAACAGAGGCATGCTAAAGGAAGGTCCAAAGACCAATTGCCCGTTGAGGGAGCAAAATGCCCGCCTCGGATCAGACGCAGTGGCATGCTAAAGGAGGGGTCCCGTGGGGTCGCGAAACTTTTCCTGGGGGTCGCGGAAATTTTTGGCTACAAATTTGGGGTCGCGCGCCGAGAAAGGTTGAGAACCGCTGAGCTAGCCGAAGCCAGTCGAAGCCAGTCGAAGCCAGTCGAAGCCAGTCGAAGCCGTGGTCTAGGAGGGGCGACCGCCCCACCCCTCCCCTGCCGTCCCCCTCCCCCTCCCGGCGCTGCAGGCGTGGCCGGCGTGGCCTTGCGGGGAGCGCCTGGCGGGTAGGCCTTTGCGAGCACGGCTGTGCTGCGCGGCCAACGCGCTGCCTACCTCGCCGGCGCTCCCAGCCCGCTGGCTCTGCGTAGCGCTGCGCTGCACCGCGCCCGATTCGACGCGGCCGATTGCCTCCGAGGATCGGCGGGGGGAGATTTCGGCCCGCAAGTGGCGGTCATGGCGGTCTCTGATTGGTTCAGACCTCCCACTGGAGGGCGAATACCTCCTGAACGAAAACCATCTCCAGTCGGCAGGCCGTTCTGCAGGCTCGTAGCGGAGAAAATTCACACGTTCGTACAAACCGAAATCAAAGCAGAAAAAAATTAACAAATTGAAAAAAAAGTAAAAAAAAACAAAAAAAAACTGAAACTGATTTTTTTCTCTGCACATTGCCATTGTCGATACTATCACTCTCTGAAACCGACAGCTCCGTCGCGTTTCGACTCCTCCCCCCCCAAATCAATCTGCAGGCCGGTCGCGTCGCACGGCGTCGCGGTGGAACAAGCGACGCGTGCCCCACACGACGACGCGCGTCGCCACCGCCTTGTGGCGGCAAAAGACAAAATGGCGGGAGAATCATTCGAACGGCGGCACGGCGAGCTGCAGTCCTTTGCTGCACGATCATACTCACCGGCCGCGGTGCAGCGAATCCGACAAGTAAATCACTCTCATTGTGTGCAAATTCGCCTCGAAACACGGCCGGCTGTCGATACAGAGCGCTGCTTTGTAGTTGGCGCCTTCGTCAAACACGCAGGTTGGCACGCTTGTTTGCGCGCGCGCGGGATTGCCTATAACTTTCAAACGCCACTGATAAACTTTGGACGCGGACTGATTTCTTGAACGACAGCCGCCGCAGCGGAAGTCGTTCCCTCCTGCGTTATGTGAGAACTTTATCCTTTTCGCTATCTGTCTATCTCTGCGGCGCCGCGGCAACAGCCAAGCAATAGCTCGCCAAAGTAACGCCTCGACGTTTGGCGCAGACTGGCCGGCCGCTAGCCTAGCCTGGCCGCTCGGGCCGGCCGGCTGGCGGGGCGATTCCGCACAAGTCTCTCCGTCTCTCTCGCTCCCCCACGGGACGGCCCCGCGAGTGCGAGAGAGACAGCGCCAGTTGTTTTCGGAGTGAGCGTAAAGCACTCTTTGTCTGACCCGTATAGCGAGCGTACAGCTCAGCGTTCCGCCCAAGTCCGGTTCGTGATTGATTCACTTCCACGACGACCGCGTGTGCCAGTTGTAAAAGACTCCCGTTTACTCGCTCTCTTTCCCTTCACTCGCTCACTCGCTCACTCGGGCCGCCCACGTGGGGCCTGGCCTCGCGGTGGGCTATTCGCGCACAACAGCGCTGGCTGCGCCCTGGCAGTGCCTGGCTGTGCCGGCTGGCACCCCGCGCGGGAGAAAGAGATGGAGGTGACGTCCGCGCGGCCGCGGGTCCGCAGGTGATCCGAAAACAATCGCTGTGATTACGGGCAGTGCGAACAGGCGGCACTCGCGCGCTCATACACTGGCACGCGGCCACGCACACACACACAAGCACACACACACGAGACCGCTCGCCGAGTACGGCGCCGCGCCGCGACAATGGCCACACAATGTCGCCTTTCGAAGCCATCACGCCTTGTCGGGTCGACTGGCTAATTCAATCGCGTCTATGTTTGCAGCGTGCCGTTTTTGCTCTGCCTCTCTCGCCCTCCAGCGACGGCGGGCTTTTCTGCTGACGGTGTTGGAGCCGCGTTCAAACAGCCTGTCTCTCTCGCACTCGC